CAGTGGCGGATGTACGCGTACCGATGGGGTTCGGGGCATGACAAAAACTATGCGGGCTCCAATCGAAAGCGGACAATATCGTTTCGAGTGGGTATCATAGTGGTATCAGAGCCAAGCCCAGCCGGAAATGTGGGGCTCAGGCACAAACCAGGCGGAAGCTAGTGAGCCTATAACAACCCAGTCTTGCGAGGGCAAGGAGTAGTTGCCAGGGCCAGAGGGCTTGAACAAAGAGCGACTCCTAACAGGCTTCGAGGATGGCGAAGGGGACAGGAATGAACCGAATCCCACATCGCCTAGGTGTGGTGAGGTGAAGTGGCATATATGTGAAGGCACTTGTCCTAACTTGTAACAAGGCCTTTCACCTAGAAGAACAAAAACGTGCGAGCTCCGGCCCAAAGCGGACAATATCGTTACGAGTGGACCCTGGGTATCACAGTGGTATAAGAGCCAAGCCCAATCGAAAGTGTGTGATTCGGGAATGAACCGCACGGAAGCTGGTGAGCCTATAACGACCTGGTCTTGCGAGGGTGGGGAGTGGTCGCCAGGACCAAAGGGCCTAGACAAGGGGCGGCTCCTAGCAGGCTTCGAGTATGGCGAAGGGGACAAAAATGAATCGAATCCCACATAACCTAGGTGTGGTGAAGTGAAGTGCTATATATGTGGTGGCACTTGTCCTAACTTGTAATGAGACCTTTTTTGGGCGAAGCCCAAAAGAAAAAACCGTGCAAGCTCCGGCGCAAAGCGGACAATATCGTTACAAGTGGGCCCTAGGCGTCACAAGGTTAGCTTGATTAGTTCAATTTCGATCAAGTTTGAACTACTAGATAATTAAGTTGAGTCAGCTTGAGTTCAATTTTTGAACTCAAGTAGCTCCCGAGCCTAATCTCGTAATTAAACTTTTAATTAGTTTTCGTTGCAAGACATTTAAACAAAACAAATTATCAATTATATTGTAGTTATAATACAAAGAGTTTGAGCTCAAGCTCGTAGTTGGGCTTAACTGAGCCGAGTTTCATATTTCATAAGATAATTGATGGAGTCTCGATTATTCGGTACGAGTTGAGTTAAATTAGTAGTTTGTATCAACTCAACTTCAGCTCCATTATGCCTTAGATACCGACATGAATGAAAAAACGATTACAAATCAAACTTTCCATTGAGAATGTGAAGTACATAAACCGATTTCCACATTCATAACAGATTGCTTAAAAGTTGCATTATATACTTAACCCGCATTTCTCACTTTGATATGCTTGCAGTCAAGCAAAATACATCCTGGATAAACAAGACAAGTAAATCGCTTTGCCTCCTCTTATTGATCAAGGACATGGATCACCATGATATATAGTGGATCACCATGTCCGCTTCTAGGCTCAATAATTCAATCTAAAATTAATGTTGAAATATGTCTCGAGTTTTGAGTTCATAAATAAATCTGATCTATAAGCGCACACGGAAAACCAAGTGAAATTTTTATATAATCGGATGTGGCATAAATTTGCAAAGTTTATGTTGGTCTTGGATCGGTATCGCTTGGATCGTTTTCTTGAAGATTGACTTTTGGTCAGACAAACAAGAAAAGGAAAGATTGGGTCAGAGAAAGAATAAGAAATAAAAGAATCAGAAATATTCTTTCCTGATTTCCTGATTCGTGTGGGAGTCGTTCAAAAATCGGAAAGTCCAACGCGTGGACTTGAAGACCGGTCTAGTGGGTTTTCTTAAGGATCAATGTTGACCGCAAGTTGGACTCTAAGTTGACCGTGGACCCCACGTATAGATACATATGGATCGTGAGATTCCTGTGATTATAGTCTTGAAGCACGGCTTGTGTGCGAGTGCTTGGTGTGCAAAGATGCGCAGAGGGAACTCGTGAATTACATTCATGAAGTCAGTGTTCGAGCCATAAAATCTTGCATTAGAGTTTGTGTGTAATTCCTTCGTGAGATTGATTGATTATTTCGTAAGGAATTGTGGGACTAAATACCACATGAGTTATTGGGTGCAATTGGGGCTTAGAAAATACTGAGAGTATATGAATGACTCGAATGTAGTTGTAATCTCCATTGTATCGCTTGATCTATAGCGAAATTCTGTACTGCTCTTCTCGTGGACGTAGATGACTACGACCGAATCACGTAAATCTGGTGTCCGACTTATTTTCTTGTTCTGTCATTTTACTGTTCGATTGCTTGCCTCTGCAATGATTAACTTGACTAAAGTATGATTTCACCTCATGGATAGAGTTTATGCCTCCATTTATTGTAAACTTCTGGAAAGTCACGCAATAGACCGAAAAAAAAGTATTCATATCTGCATATGAGAAACTGAAATGATAAGCTGAACAATACTGTACTGTTTCCCAAGCACAATAATTAAACTCTTTAAGAAAAAACTCGGAAAAAAAATAACGAACAACATTAAAAAAGAAAAGAAAAGAAAAGAAAGCAACAGAAAACAAAGAATTCTCGTTGGTGAGAAAGAAGAAACCTCGTAAATAAAGTCACCTTTAGAGTAATCAAGCACCATAAAGTTAGACATAAGCATTGCATTTGTTCACACTCGTATTGGATAAAGCTATAGCCCCTGCCTAGCAAAGCAAGTGCTTCATAGTGGAGCTCCCTCTACCTTAACTCTAATCTTATAAGGAAGGCTCGATGCAAAGCAGTCGTACTCCAAATTGAACATCGAATTTCCTCTAAGTGACCTATACAACGCCCATAGCTGAAACATCAGCTGTAAATGGCCAAGACTAATGGACCTTAGATTTTTCCAACGGTGTTTTTGGAGGCCTCCAATTCCAGGCTCAGCATCACGCGTAAACAATGTTCATCGTGATTTTTCAAATTTCTTTTGTTGTTGATTGGGTTTAGTGTAAAATGTTGGGAACTGGATTTGCATTGCATCGAATTTGTGCTTTGGTTTAGTTTGCTGGTTGTTCGCTGAACTAGTGTCCGATTTGTTTTAATGCAATTACTTTACACATTTGTCGCGAAGGAATGAAGCTACTACATTGAGGTTGGATGATGTTCCGAACAGTCTTAACTTTGTCCCTCGTATGATGATTTAAGATAACAAGTTGTTAATGTCTGGAGAGTAGTTGTGAGGCCTCTTGTTCGTTGTAAGCCTGGCTCTTGCTCTTATTCATCAAGAAAGATTAGAACCTGCAAGAAAATGAAAAAGAGTGTGTATATATATCGCTCTCAGTTCAAAGTGGAGATTGCGTGCGTGCGTGTCTCCACATCGGTAATCTGAGCTGTTGCCTCATGAAAATCCTGAACAAGATTTAACCAGCATTAGAAAAGAAGAGCAAAGGAGAAAAATAAAAGCTCGCGCTATTTCTACCTCTTTATTGGCCCTGATTGAATTGACTATATTATTTCTTACGGATCCCACTCTTGATTTAAGATTATTTCTTTCTTTTTTTCTTTTGTTTTTTTGTTTCAATTTGACTAAATGACAAAACTATCCACGTCACTTTCAAACAATACACTCGAGCCGCTTCTTCCACTTATTACATCATGTTTGTCTTCTTATGAACTTATTCTCCATCGTTGTAATCTACGCAAGCACTAATCAAATACTGGAGTAAAGAAATGTTAGTTCTATCTTCAAATTGTTGACTTTATCTCCCTAGATTCTCCTCACGTAGTAAATTTTTCAACTTTGATACTTTTAAGTATACATTATACACAATTTACTCATCTTTCATTGCTTTTTTTTTTTTATAGTGCAATCACTATGGAAGACAATATTAATTTTTTTGCTTAAATGTATCTATTGATGATGAAACTGCAAATGGAGAATAACAATCAATCATGTCAACAAGTTCATTTGAAACTTTATTAGGTAATTTTATGACACAAGAGGATCTTTTGAGTATTATGCGGACGCATCTTCTTGATCAAGGTTATATTGTCTCCATAAAAAGGTCAAAGAGAGACAAATATGTTCTACTTGGTTGCGATAACTAAGGTAATTATCGTGATCAACATAATATTTCTATTGCATGTTTGAGAAGAAAGACCAGATTTCATTTGATTGACTATCTTTTGAAGTTTATTGCTATAAACAGAAGAACGGATAATGGTCGCTCAAAATATTTAATGAATCACACAATACATCGTTAAAATTTTGACTATTAGATTCACCGACTAAAATTAAAGTTAAGCAGTTAAAATACACGGACTACAATGTAATAACACATATTAAAGTTATAATTGAATGAAATGCATACTAAAATTGGTGGATGGTTCTTTTCAATCTTACTTGTGCTTAGGTTGATTTTTTAATTATAGTTTTCTAGTACCAAAAAAGAAGAAGAAGAAATGTACAGCTCATTAACAACAATTAGCTTTTTTTTCGTCAAATAATTAGTTAGCTATCAACCAATTTTTCATTCTGAAAAGAGGTACACCAATTTTGTTTCAAATGGAGAAAGAAAAGGAAAATACCAAAAAAGAAGAAAAGAAGGCAAGCAATAATCTTAAATGAAGAGCGACCCCCACATTTAACAATAATAAATGTTGTTTGAGAGGGGCATGGGTAGTTTTTTTTTTTTTTTGGTAAAGAGGGCATGGGTAGTTTCTTCTCTAGTAAAATAAAAGAAAAAGATGAAGAAAAGGCAAGAAATAATCTTGAGTCAAGAGTAAGACCCACAATGGATAATGTAGTTAATTCAATGTGAAAGGGTTATCATAAGCTAATAAGGAGTGGAAAAGGCACGTGCCAATATAAAATTGTGATTGTCGTCAAGAGTGATATCTAAATTAAGAAAGTCGAGCCACCTCTTCCTTTGATAGGCTGACAACATTCATTCCTTTGTTTTGTGCTCATTTCCAGTTTCAAATTTAAAGCTGCATCCTATTTCCAAATTGGATCCATTTACAATCTCATAAGCACCCCAAGCTCCTTCAAGTCCTACATATGTCTTGCCTACCGTGCAACGTAACAACCGTGAATTACCTTGAGGTCTGGTCTCAACAAATACGACACACTCATAGTCATAGCTCAGAATCAACTATAGGACACGAGACGATAAAATAAGAAAAGGAAAGGAAGCTACATCTAGAGGACTTCAAAGATGTAGCGACATTTGTATTGGTTTCAAATGAAGTACCGGGCGCCTTCACTTCAACCCAATCGTCTTCACCAGCATTCAAATTAATCTCATTTTTGGATCTTTCTTCGGCAAACTCATCCATCGAGTCCCCACGAGAAGCAAGATTAGCTGCTTGAGGAACATCCCCATCAGAAACTTCGTCCCTAACTACAATGCCGCATCGAACCGTACAGAGATACTCATTGCCCGCCCGCTGCTTGGGGGCGTAGTATATCTCGTAAACTCGAGCAGTGCTTCGGACATAAACTTGGCGCACCTCGTGTCGCTGAGCGAAACTAACTGCAGCAAACGAATTCTTTGTCACTCATAACCGCAACTAAGGCACCGAAACAATTCTTCTTCGAGGCTTAAGCAAGTAATGATCGGGCGGTCGAGGTGAAAAGGACACATAAACCACCACTACATCACATTAACACGAATCATTCGAAAGCTACTTAAGCCGCTAATCGATGGTCTGACTCGTGTGCTTCAAATCAAGGACAAAAGAATATAATTCAAACGCAATAAAAGATGAAACTTGGAGAAACACCGCGACCGAGCGGCTGCATCTCATCTCATAGTCATGACTAATTACTAATTCACTCCGCGAAAACGATAGAACCCACCAGCACTCGGGAAGGGGCGAGTGAGTCGGAAAAGCTTACCAGTGATCTCGCACGGGTTGCGATCGGGCAAGGGAGGGCGCAGGAGGAGAGGAGCTCGCGGAGCTGAGCCGACCGCGCCGTCATCGATCGGAGAAAGAGGCGACTCGACGGTCACCGAGTCGGCGAGACGGCCGGCTGAGACGGTCCAGCTCGTCGCGACGCCGCTCCAATCGGTGTCTTCTCCTCCGGCGACGATCGAGCCCATGATTGGTGGATTCTTCAAACTGGGAAGCGATGGAAATCGCTCGGCGGCGGTCGCGACTTCAATGGAAATCTGGACGGAAGGAGGCGAAGGCGGAGACGGAGGCGGAGGCAGAGGAGGATGGGAGCGTGCGATCGACGTCTAGCGATCTCAGATTTCTCAATGGGACCCGTATATGAAAATCGGAAGATCTTATATATTATTTCAGCTGAAAAATTAATTTACTTTAAAAAATTGAGATGGAAATATGAAAATCTGACACTTCAGACAAAAAAAAGGAGAAAAAAAGAGTAGTAATATCCCCTCGGGAAAATCTTCCATGAACCTCCTTTTTTATTTTTTATTTTTTACCATAGTTAATCCAGTAAGTTAATTTAAAATGTTCCTTTTTTCCTTTCAAACCAATTCAACAAATAACAATTTCAGTTTCCATTTGCTCATCTTATCCATGAAACGGTGAGACGGACACGTTCAAATAATCCCTGTATCATTAATGAAACCCAATAAATTGCTCGCATCCCCCCTTAAATCAACAAGAACGTATGATCGTGAATGTGTAAAGGTATTTTTACAATGCACGATAGACCTAACAATAATCACTGGTGTGACATTCCGAATTTCGACCCATTTTTGGGATTTATAAAACGTGTAATTCGTCAGTGTGCTTATAGTAAAATCTCACCCGGGAACTGATCACTCCCGATTATTGTTCTTAAAATTGAGATTTCGCTAGAATCGCACTCGATCGAATTTGGCCGTTATTTAGAGCCCAAACTTTGGTGTCGAATTTCTCGGAGTCCCGGGACGAATTTAATTGGACGGTGTCAATATTATTGTGGCCAACCTCGATGTTGCCCGGGATATGCAAAAAGTGAAATTTTGACCGGGTGCGGATTTGGACTAGTAAACCTTTCTCGTAGTGTGTTTTTATTAATATCTTTTGGCCCTTTTTCCTATATTATTAATTAAGATTTTTCGAGGACCGTTAGATCATTTTTGAATTCAAATCGTGACCGTTGAATCGCGATTATTGCGATTTGACTACTCTCTCTCCTCCCCTCTTTTTCCGCCGGTCCCCCCCTTTTCGCGTGTTTGACTCCCCCACCGAGCCCACCAACTCCCCATCATTTCCCCCTCTTTCTTCTTATTCTTTTCTTCTCCTTCTTCGTTGGTTTTGCTTCTTCACCGCTGCTGCTTCTGCTCCTCTGCTGCTGTTGCTTCTGCTTCGCTGCTGCTGCTTCTTGTTCTGCTCCCTTCGGCTTCTTCATTTCCAGCCGCCGGACTGGTCCATTTCTCGCCGGAAACAGCCCCCGTCGCCGGCTGTTTTCCAGCCAAGTTTCTAGCTTCGTCGCCCGTTGTCCGTCCCCGCCGTTGCAGCCGCTGCTCCGCTGCTGTCCAGCCACCTAGCTGACACCACCAGACACCATTACACGCCCGGATCAGCCCCCAAGCAGCCCCGACCAGCCACCACAGCAGCCGCTCCTTCGCCGTGCCGGATCGCCTCACCGAAGCCAAACCGGTTTTGTGGCTGCTGTTCAGCCCTATTCCGGCCGTGTGTCATCGTTCCGTGTTGTTTTCGGACCATGCAACGCGTAGCCCTCGCCGCCGCCGTCGCGCTCGTGTTGTCGGATTCGCTAACGGGTGAGTTTTCGCACTAATCCCTTGCTTAGTAGTTTAAATTTGATTAGAGCGGATTAGTTTAAGTTAATTATGTTTAGTGTTAATTAATTAGGAATTAGTTGTTAAGCTATTGAAATATTATATTAATTTTCGGGAATTAAATAATAATATTTTATTAATTTTCGGAATTAAAAATATTATTATTTTATTAATATTTTTGTGGAAATTCCGAAATTAAATTGTGTTTATTTAGGCTTAAATTGCGATGCCTAAGCTAGAATTTGCCTTATATATTGGTTTGTATGCCAAATTGAATTGTTTGGTTATGGTGAAATATAGAATTACGGGTATTTAATTAATAAATCCTGAGGTGTCGGGTTTATTTGTTAAGTTTTATGTGAGAAATATGTTGTGGGTACTTGAATATAGAAGCATGCCAAGTTTGGGAATTTATTGATATGTGCATAATCACGTGTGAATATTTTAGTACATTTTTATGTGTGGAAGTTGCGATATTTCAACGTGTTAGCACGGATCATGTTTACATCGGCTATTGAAAATTATAATGATGGAACATGAGTCTTGCTATGTGTGCATGATCACCTAAAGGTTCCTTTCGTGCCCGGTTATATCGGAAAATCGTATACCGGATGACCGCCAACCTAGGGTTTGGCCGTGGCCCTAACGGGTGTCCCCAATTTGGTAATTGGAAGCCGTCGCTGGTAGCAGGGGAGACGTAGTTATTCGCGAATCGGATTCGGAATGAACCCATTTGTGGGATATGCCGTCATTGTGGTTGGGTGAGACGATGCCGTGCCCGATGGGGCGGGACGATGCCCGGATATACCGGAAGACTGCCAACCTGAGGCGAATATCGCGGGTTGTGCCGTAGCCCCTGGTGTGGCTGTAGTAATTGGAATACGCGTGAAAGATTGTGGTGGCATTGCGCTTGATTATGAGATGAAATTGCTAGGCACGGTATGGGACGGGCCGAAGCGGTTTCACTTTATAATTGGGACACGTGTGAATGCATTGTGCTTGAGAAGGTTGATGCGTATTCTGAATACATTATATGCTTATTGCATTATCATGGCATACGGTGAATTATAACGTATAGGGCATGTGCATATGCCAAGGCAAGGTAAGGCTGCCTGTGATTGTGTTGTGAAGTACCTGTATGTTCTATATTGAGTTGTCTGCCATTGATGTATCGTTGCATAAGTTAGGTACATCCGAGATGAGTTGACCTCCTAGTCGAGGCTTAGGTCGTGAACTCGCTGAGATTTATCTCATCCGTTGTTGTTAACCACTTTTCAGGTCATCCGATATGAGTACACGTACCGTTCCTTGGGAACCGGCTTTTTGAGGGAAAATACCTTTTGAGGTCATCCTCGTAGATAGAGGAGCTAGGTTAACCCCTACCTGTTCTGGTTGTAATCGGGAAGGTCCGCGTGGCGGACTTGTATTATATCAACCCCATGTATTGCTGATGATGTTGTTTAAATTGAGGTGTGTTTTCCTAACTATCCCTGCTGTTGTGATTGGGAGTTTTTAATTCGCTTCCGCATGCGTTTAATCGTTAGTAATTCGATTGGGTCGGCGATGCATCCTGGGACGTCGCATTTTTAACGACCTTGGTGGGATGTTAGCGCGCTCGAGGGTCGGGGCGTGACAACTGGTATTTTTTTAAAGAATTTCTAATTAATTTGCTCGATTAACTTTGGTCAACAAAATAGGTTAGATGGTAGAGATAAGCAGGTTTGCTTGTGAATGATATTCCATCGCTTAGTTATCTCAAATCGCTAGCGCTTTTCAATCTTAAGTATGAACTTTTCTTATTTTCGTCAAGGTGAATCTCTCTTATTTTACAAAAAACTAAGTAGACCCAATTTCTTTTTTCAAAAAAAGTACACGTCTATTTTTCTGAATTTATAGATTTTTTTTTCCTACAGGCAAAGTGTGTGATCTTTTCCTTGCAGAAAGAAGATAAATGATTTTCCACAAGATGCATCTTATCTAATGAACCCGATTTGCCATGTTTTCCCTGGTCAGTCTGTTTTTCCTTCATTTCTTCTATTTATGGAATGCAAGCGTGACTCCTATTTTGTAAATAATTCATGTGTGATGTCATAATCGTGCTATACTTCTAACGATAGTCGTTCTCATCCCCATTTGAAAAGCGAAGGTGATTAGAGGATGTATGTTCATCCACCAGTTGCCTCCACATGTCTAGAAAGTTCAATGGTAACTATTTTCGGTTCAAATCAAAATTATGCATTGGATAAAACAAACAAGTAGACCGCCTTTCCACTTCTCTAATGAAAGGCAATAGATATCCTTCTTAGCTTCTCCCTATGGTCCATCTTTTATCTTTTGATTCTATTCCGATGCCCTACATTGTCTGCGATAGCGCGAAAAAAGAAAGGGAACGATATCGACCGGCTTTGTCGGCTGATCGCATTAGGTCAAGGCCCATCGGCTTATTCGATTGATAGCGTGATGAAGTTTGAAGTCGCTAATGACTTCTTTAGGATGATACTTCTTTTGTCTCGCTAACTAACCAAAAGAGAGGATGGTTTTTGGGAATTCGGTTGCCCTCACACAGCCTCTACTGAATAATATCTCCACGGCTAAACATAATCACAGCTGCTACGTTGACCTCCTTTTGGCAAGTGTGGGGAGCAGATGACACTAATTGTCTCAAGAACCTCATCAATACTTTCAGAAACAACAAAACCAATTTGAAAATTGCAAACACCAGGTGATACAGACAAGATAACCATGACCGCTTGTCTGATTATACCGTAATTGATCACAAATGGGACAGCAGATGACAGTGCAGACCGACCACCTTCCAAAACAGTGGCAACAGATGACCTATCTAACTAATCTCTCTCCTTTTCCTATCGACTTTGGTATTAGAAGATATCTGAGGGAGCTGTTGCACAAACAAAGGAATGATGATTATGCATATAACGCCACTTGTTCTCTTTCCTTGTATGGAGGAGGCAGCACGTCTTTTTATGTTAGCGAAAGGGTTTTCTGAACCGGATGGATCCTCCGCAATAGGTGTGTCCAGCACAGAGTCGGAAATTGCATCGTGCGTCTCCTCAAAGAAAGACTTCATCGTCTACAAGGTACCAAGACTGCATTAGAATTAATCAAATGGTCAGAATAAAGGACACAAAAGCTTGATATCATCTAAAGGAATAGCCTAATGTACATACGTACAGTGCAATGCTGGAAAGCTGCATCAGCTTCCGCTTCCACAAACCATTTCCAGGCTCTGAATGTAAAAGACCAAGCAAAGGCCGCAACATGTTAACAATAGAATTATTGATAAAGCTTCGTCTTGGCCATATAAGAAACAGATGATCTTTCACGCCCGGCAACATTCCAACAACAGAGAAGCAGGAAATCTGCTTCCAAATGCTAATGATGGCTTTGCAGCAATAAATACTATACGCAAGAATTTAGTTTATCCATGACAGATCCTCTCGGTGCTGGACTACTCTCGACAGGGTAATG